GGCTTTCAAATGGACCTGAACCTATTTAAGTAGTAAAGCCTCATGGTCAGCTGACTGTGTCCTGAATGTGGCTGCAAGAGCTCCACAAGATCTTGTCCTACAGCTAGCCTAGTGTAAGATAACAGGGAGAAAAGGTTAATTCCCAGGCCTTATCAGGAGGGGAAGAAATCACAATTTGTTTGATAACAGGATTTAAATTTTTCAGTCTCAATTTGAAATGATAAAGCTATGGTAGCTAGAACGAGGAAAGAAATGAGTCTCAAGCTAAAAAGCAAAGCACCCCTCTCAACAAAAACAAAAAAGCCAAGCTTTGTTAAATTATATAACTTATCCCACTTAAACCCTTTAACCATTTTCTTCTTGGCATAGTATTTGTAAACCTGGAGCTTTTTCCTAGAGACTGTGTCCTTTTCACTGACCATGGCTGGCTCTGAGCTATAGTGTCTTTCAGTTATCTGCTTTACCTTTGACTCTGATCTGTGAAGCTTCTGATAGTTTCTTCATTCATTTGGGAACAAGCAGCCTGAGATCCTACTGTAGATACGCTAGTGTCTTACTATGCCTTTGATTCCTTCTTCCTTTAAGCTAATCTCCCCTTCATACGGATGACCTGAATCCCAACTAAAATCCACACATGGTCTTTTTAATTTTTGTGCAACTGTTCTATTCTTCTGTGGTATTAATTTGGTGGAGTTTATCATTGTCTCAGATCCTGGTCTTTCACCCCAGGCCTTGGTTTCTTGGGTTGAGTCTACATCTACATAACATTGTTATTGCTAGTTCAAAACTGACACGAACTTAACCTGCAATCTCAGCCTCCACATTGAGGGAACACCACATTGATTCTACATCACAAAGTCTAGATAATGTGGAAAGCACACTGGTTGTGGATAAGGAGGCTTATTGTGGCCTTGCCATAGACTTTGATTTTGGACAGAAGGTCTGACCTGTCCTTTCAGGTGGTACAGTCTTTCTAGTGCCTGCTCTCATTAGGGATAGGAAAGCTATCTTCTGTGTAGTCTCAGTTGCACAGAGCACTGTCTGGCATGAGCCTTGGTGTGTTGGTTTCTGATTGTAAAGCCTGAGATTCCCCTCCTAGCTCTAGAGGGGGGAGGGGAACCATCCAACTGTCTCATTAGCATGGAGAAAAGAAAACAGTAATTACTTGTGCCTCCCTTGATAATTCTGCAGGGTTGGTTCTTAGGGAAGGAGGAGGGGAAAACTGGAGACAGCTTCAGCTGAGGAAGGAGAAATGTTCTTACTTAGTTCCCAGAATATGCAAAAGCAAGAATTTGCACATCTGTTGTATTCTTAGGACATTCCTCCAGGCAGGCTGGAGACTGCCTGGATTGAATTTCAATTTTTGTGGCATATATTAATGTTCTTACTGTCTGACATTAAGTTACTGGCTATGCTAGGTATTCTGATATTTGCCTTTGTTAAGGAGTAGGGTGGGATTTTGCTGGAGCACTTTGTGACCTGGCTGAATTTTTATGCTATGAGATCTTCTTGAAGCAACACAACATTTGGATTTATTTTTCTAGTCAAGGTTAGGTGTCTTTGTAAATGGGAGGAGTCTTGGAAAACGACAAGACTGTAGTGTTCTGTCAAGTCTAAGAAAAGCAGGACTCAGAAGGCTTGAAAGTGGGAAGTTAGGAACAGCTGGAACAGAATTAGCAAATCAATATGCAAGCTTGGCTATGGACAATGACTGTTTGCTCTGTGTTAATCTTTCATTCCCTGTGTGGACAGTTGTGAGCCCAGAAGTACTGATTGTAGCAGAAGCGGATTGGAGAATGTGCTGTGCTGGTGAGCGTTGCTGGGGGGAGCTTGGAGCTAGTAGGTTCTTCTGTTGCTGTTCTCCTGCTCTGGTTGCTACTCCAGGCCAAGAGAACAACTCCCCCCCCCCCCCCCCCCCCCCCCCCCCCCCCTCCCCCCCCCCCCCTCCTCCTCTCCCCTCAGGAAGATAGCTTCAGTACCTCCTTTCATGTAACCTTCCTTTAGACTTTGGAAATCATTTATTGTAAACAACCAAGGCATCTGTAAAGACATGTTTAAAAATTTGTTTACAAATGTAGGAAATGATTGTTTCTGTCAGGTTTATATTCTTCTACCCCTTGAAGTATTCCCTTTTTCCCTCCCTGGGCCTTTTGCTTGATTAGTCTGCTTTTGCTGTCCAGGTTCCAATGTTCCCTTAGCCTCTAGGTATATATTCCTGCTTTCCTTATACTTTTGTAGAATCTGTTCCCTATGTTTAGATGGAATGCTCTAAATAGCATGGCCTAAGGGAGGAGTAATTCTCTTCAGCCTTAACTTGGCAGTTAATTGGGCCATAGTAATGTGGTTCCCAGGAATACACATCCAGGACACAGTAAATGCTGATTCTCAGAAAGGTCTCCATATCATTATATAAGGTACTTTGATCAGATATTTCAGGACAGGCCTACTTGTTAATAATCTCAACCCTTAGAATATAGTCTCCAGAGGCTGAGGCTGGAGAAATGGCTTAGTGATTGAGTGACTGACAATAGTTGCTACTCTGAAAGAGTAAGGCCCCTAGCACCCACATCCAGTGGCTCACAACTACCTAAAACTGTTGCTTCAGGGGATTTGATGTTTTCTGGCCTCCCTGGGTACTGCACACATTTGACATTCATTCACACAAACCCACACAGAAACACATAAAAGAAAACAAAAAATCATACTCCTTTATGATTTTATTTTTGTGTGTTAAGATTTATTTTTCTTATTTTTATTTATGCATGTTTATGTTTGTGTGAGGGAATGCCCTGTGTATGCAGGTGTCCACAGGGGCCAGAAGAGGGCTTTGGAGCTGCATTTGACAAGTGTTTATGAGATAGATGTCTGATGTGGGTGTTTGGAAACAAACAGGTCCTCTGGAAGAGCAGCAACTAAAACTCTTAATCACTGAGCCATCTCTTTAGTCCCCAAATAAAACCAATCTTTAATTGTTGGTGGTGGGAGGGCGTAAGATGACTTAGAGGGTAAAGGAACTTGCTGTCAAGTGTGACACCTGAGTTTAATACCTGGGACCCACAGGGTGAGAGGAGGGAACTGATTCCTCTAAGTTGTCGAAGATATGGCCCAGTATGGTAAAAGCCTGTGTTGTGGTTTGAAAGTTAAGTGTCCCTTGTAAATTCATGTATTTGAATACTTTGTCCTGAGCTGGTGGTGCTGTTTTGGAAGGGAGTAGACACTTTTGGATCTGGAGCCTACCTAGAGGAAGCAGGTTACTGTGGGACAGCTTGAGGTTGAATAGCCTAGCCCCATTTCCAGTCTGTCCTCTGCTTCCTGACATGGTGTGCTGTTATGCCCCCCTCTCTCTCCATGGTGGACTATCTCTCTTCTCCTTACTTCTTTCTAATATTGACTTACTAATTTAGTTGTGTATGTATGAGTGTGTGTAGGTCAGACTTACAACCCTCTTGGTAATTCAGTTCTCTTCTGCCTTTTTGGTCCTTTGGATGAAACTCAGATGGTCAGGCTCAGTGAAGTGCCTTTATCCACTGAACCATTTTGCCAGTCCTGTATCCCTTATCTGTCTCTCTACCTTTCTTTTTTTTTTTAAATTAACTTTTTTTATGTGTGAGAATGTTTTGCTTGTGTGTATGTCTGTGTATCATATGTGTGCCAGGTTCCTGCTTAAGTCAGAAGAAGGTTTTGGACATGAGTTATGGATGTGTGTGTGTTACAGTGTGGGTATTAGGAATTGAACCTTGGTCCTCTGCAAGAAAAGTGTGCTTAATTAACCTGAGCCATCTCTTCAGTTTCCTCTATCCCATCTTAAAACCAAAGTAGACTCTTCCTCCCATAAGTGACTTTTAAAAAATATTTATTTTCATTTTATGTGTCTTTGTCTGCATGTATGTATGTGTATGTGCCCGGTGCCTGCAGAGGCCAGAATAAAAGGGCATTGGATCACCTGCAACTGGTTGTAAGGTGTCTTGTGGGTGGCAGGAACTAAACACTGGTCCTGTAAGAGCAGCAGCAAAGTGCTTTTAACTGCTGAGCTTTCTCTTAAGTGGCTTTTTGTCAGGTGTTTGTCACAGAAAAGTAGGTAAGTGGTTATAGCAAAGTAACTAATGTACCTTTGTGAACTCCTTATGTAACAATAGGCTGACAGCTGGCTGGTCTACAGAGGCTTCTTTAGTCCTGGCACTTGGGAGGCAGAAACAAGGGGATCTCTGTGGGTTCAAAGCCAGCCTGGTCTACAAAGTGAGTTCCATGAAAGTCAGGACTGTTACACAGAAAAACCCTATCTTGAAAAATCAAAAACAGGGGCTGGAGAGATGGCTCAGAGGTTATATAAGCACTGGCTGCTCTTCCAGAGGTCCTGAGTTCAATTCCCAGCAACTACATGGTGGCTCACAGCCATCTGTAATGAGATCTGGTGCCCTCTTCTGGTCTGCAGGGTTACATGCAGACAGAATACCTGTACATATGATAAATAAATTAAAAAAAAAAAAAAAGAAAAATCAAAAACAAGCAAAGAACCAAACCAAACACCAAAAAAAAAAAAAGTGTCAAAAACAATAGGCTGACAGCACCACAACCAGGGGTGGGTGTGGCGCATATCTATGCCTAACCAGGGTTGGAAAGTGGAGGCAGGAGGATCAGGAGTTGAGGGCCATCCTTGGTTACATAATGAATTGAAACCCAGCCTGAGCTTCAAGAGATCCTGTCTCAAAAAATAAGTAAGATTTATGTAATGGGTCATTACGGCTATTCTTTTAAAAAGAAAAGCCCTTGGTTTTTCCCACTGTGCTCTCATGGCATCCTTTGAAAGGCTTTTTGTGCCATTTTATTTAAAGTAGATTCTACTCTTACTCCTTGTTTTATTTCGTGACTGTTTAAATTTTCTTCCTAATACTCAACATGGTCTGAAATGATAGAAACCAGGATTCAAAATGTGTAAGGGTTAAGACCCTTGACAGACCTCTTTTCTCTGTTACAGGTGAGCCCTGATTCTAGAGACAGCTGCTGCTGACCCTGTAACCCTAAGGACTAAGTAGCTGGCTAAACTCATTCTTGGTACAGGTGAGTGAGGGTATTCAGGCAGATTTGGGTAACCATGGGCTAAGATAAAGGGTAACTAGTTTAGGGATTCTTTTCAGCTTTTGTACTGATATCTTACAATTAATATTTTTTTTTCTAGGTACTGGAATATTCTAGAGATGGGAATAATCTACCAGTGAGCCCTAGGTAGCCTACTGGCCTGGGAGGAGGATTGAGGTCACTTTCTTGGAGTTGCCATAAGCATGTTTGGGATCATTTGTCAGAAAAAGGGCTTCCTTTCTTCTTGCTTTTGTCAGTGCCGGGGGCAAGGGCAAATATAAGGACCTAGAGCCTATATCCCCATTGGGGATCTTCTTGACTTCAGCCTATTTGACCTACTAAGCCCCAGGTTAGCATAAGGAAATCTTAAGTTTTCTCTGTTCTGCATAATGTGATCATGAATGGATAAGGATGCAGTGATCCAGCAGAGCTGTGTGAAATGGGTGAGGATGCAGTGATCCAGCAGAGCTGTGCGAAATGGGTGCGGATGCAGCGCTCCAGCAGAGCTGTGTGAAATGGGTAAGGATGCGGTGATCCAGCAGAGCTGTGTGAAATGAGTAAGGATTGCAGTGATCCAGCAGAGCTGTGTGAAATGAGTAAGGATTGCAGTGATCCAGCAGAGCTGTGTGAAATGAGTAAGGATTGCAGTGATCCAGCAGAGCTGTGTGAAATGAGTAAGGATTGCAGTGATCCAGCAGAGCTGTGTGAAATGAGTAAGGATTGCAGTGATCCAGCAGAGCTGTGTGAAATGAGTAAGGATTGCAGTGATCCAGCAGAGCTGTGTGAAATGAGTAAGGATTGCAGTGATCCAGCAGAGCTGTGTGAAATGAGTAAGGATTGCAGTGATCCAGCAGAGCTGTGTGAAATGGGTGAGGATGCAGTGATCCAGCAGAGCTGTGTGAAATGGATGAGGATGCAGTGATCCAGCAGAGCCGTGTGAAATGAGTAAGGATTGCAGTGATCCAGCAGAGCTGTGTGAAATGAGTGTTAAGCAGCCCAGAGAGGAAGGGAAATCACCACATTGAGAATTTATTATGCTAGCTTTCCCTTTATGTAGACAACTACATTTTATAGACGAAGACATTGAGACAAACAATCTAGGAACCCATAAAGCTGATCTTAGAATCAGCTCACTGTGAATACCATTATGATGTGACAGACTTTTCCAGGAGCTGCTTGAAGTTTCCCTGGAATTATGCTGTTTCTCTTCTCTCTCTCTCTCTCTCTTTTTTTTTTTTTAGGAAATTTAAGGAGCTAGCCCTCCTCAGAGATTTGAGTTATTTGAGGAGCCCAGTAGGACAGGGAGGAATTAGGGTTCATTGTGATCAATTATATGATCAATGAGGATCAGAGAGTGCAAGACAGGAAGATCTTAAGCAGGAAGTAGCTTATCTAACTAACTGGAAGAAGAAAATACCCAGAAGTGAAGGGATCTAAGAAGTTGGGCTGACAGGAGTTAGGAACCTGGACAGCTGGGTTGACATTGGGAAACAGAGTTTCTCTGTGTAGCCCTGGCTGTTCTGGAACTCACTCTGTAGACCAGGTTGGCTTCAAATTCCCAGAGATCAGCCTGCCTCTGAGTCCTGGGATTAAAGGCCTGAGATACCTGAATTTTTAATCTTATCTCTCAGTGTGCCTTTGGACAGTCTTCATTACCCCAATTTGTAAAATTGTTACTTCCTGCTTCCCTGCAGCATTGTGTGTGTGTGTGTGTGTGTGTGTGTGTGTGTGTGTGTGCGCGCGCGCGCGCGCGTGCGCGTGCGCGCTCGCTCGCTCACTCACACACAGGACTGAACCTAGGGCATTGTATTTGTTTGGCAAGCACTCTACTATCAACCTAAATCCCTATCTCCCTGCCATATGTGTGTACAACCATTCAGTAATGATGTAGAGAACCAAATGAGAAATCTAAGAAAAGTTTTGCAAATTAATATGTAACATGAATGAAAGAAGAAAAGTCAGACCTGTTTGTTATCCTACTCCCCAAAGTTAAGAGTGAGGGTTTTCCTTAGGGTATCTCTGCTGTAAGTCTTTCCCTGCATCTTTCTCTCTTCTCCTGCAGGACCTACCCAGAGCAGTGCTTTATCACAGGGAAATGGGTTCCAGAGACAGGTGACAGAACATCCAACTCTGGCAGTTGTAGTTTGCAGCATGTGCTCTGCAGAGTTAGGTTTAAATTCACTCAGGTGCCCAGGCTTCAAGGCCTCTGCTGGAGGGTAGATCTTAAAGCAGCTCTTTTTAAGAACCCATTTCAGCACTAACCAGCTCAGTGCATTGTTTCCTGTTGCCTCAGCAGAATAGCCTACTACCACACCCACTGGTAGTGAAAGAAAGGGTACCTATGTTGAAATTTCATCATTCCAGTTTTCCTACTGTCTTGCTTTTTTCCCCTGGCCAGTGATTTAAGCTGTTTTTTTTTTTTTTTCTTCTCTGTCTACTTGAAGGGTCACAAAGGGATAGAATGCTCACATGGTGCTCTTAAATTTAGTGTTGACAAGTTCCAGTTTTTCTTCATACTCTGAATCTTCAGGTTTTTATTAATACCTTTGTGTCTTGGTGATCTAAGTTCCACAGATTCTGATCTTTCCATGGCTTGTGTGCCAAGGTTAGAACTTACTGCCCTATGAAAACATTTCACTGTTACTTAAAAATGTGAGTGGTTTCTTGTAAATAAGTGTGTAATATACAGATGTATGTATAATAGTTTATTTATCTAGCAGTCTCATGTTCCTAGAGCCCAACTGAAAAACAGGGAAGCAAAGCATTGCTATCCTTAAGCCTTGCATAATAACATATTTTAACATGTTATTATAAGCTTAGCTGTCTTGCTTTTAAACTTCTGCAGGTAAAAGTAAAAGCAATGAGAAAAGCTGTGCTAATATTAATGACAACTAGAGGTAAGAGGCGAAAGCTGGCAGTAATGAAAAGGGTGAAAGAAAAATGATACTATATTTAAAATAATAGACTGGACGGCATTGAAATAGAGGTGGGTAACAGCCCTACAAATAAATACCTGTGTGCTTTACTAAGATAGGGGTGGAACTTAGGGAAATAGGTAAGTTCTGAGGTTTTTATTAGAAAAGTTATTTGTGGGATATACTATATTACTAGGCACAGAGTCTATGTAAATTTATTTCATTTTCATAGCAACTTGAGAGGTATGTGGTGATATTCTTGTTTTATAAATTGCTGAGACCTAGAGAAGGCATGTAGGCATTAATTGGAAGAGCTAAGCTTAGAATATAGTAGAATCTGGGTATAGAGACCCAAGACTTTTCTGTTATACTTGGGTTTGGGTTTTTAGATTGTTGTCTTTTCAGGCTTTTGGATCAATAATAGCTCCCCCTTTTTGTTCATCCCACTATATAAATTTTCTGTTTTGAAGAAATTATTATTCATCTGCTTAGTGCTTATTGGTATTTTCTATGCAGCATGCATGGTTTCAGGTTTTGAGATCTAACAGTGAATAAAATAGTTTGATCTCAGCCGGGCAGTGGTGGCACATGCCTTTGATCCCAGCACTGGGGAGGCAGAGGTAGATGGATCTCTGGCCAGGTCTGTTAAACAGAGAAACCCTGTCTCCAAAAACAAAAAGAAAAATAGTTTGATCTCATGTTTACATATTAGTGGAAGAAAGCAGAAGAATGAATAAATACGAAGAAAAATAATGTAGGATAAGGGAATAAGGAGAACTATAGATTAAAGAAGGTCTGTCTGAGAAAAATAAGGTTGGTGCAGAAGCTGAAGTATTGAACTTTGTATCTTAAACTAACATTCTAGGCACAAGGATTCAGCAAGGTCAGAAGTCCTGAAACAAGCATATTGGTTGTGTTTGAAGAAAAAGGTGTCCTTAGTGTATAGAGAGGAAGTAAGCAAAGGGGACATTAGACTATGCAGAAGTTGTCTTAAAGAGTAAGGTCAGGTTATGTAAGATTTTGAGAGGAATGTTGTGATTAACTAGCTATCTTTAAAAAAAAAAAAATGTTCTGCATGGCGGTGGTGGCACACACTTTTTATTAATTCCAGTACTCGGTAGGCGGAGGCAGGTGGATCTCTGTGAGTTCGAAGCCAGCCTGGTCAACAGAGTGAATTCCAAGACAGCCAGGGCTATACAAAGAAACCCTGTCTCAAGAAAAGGAAAAAAATCAGGCTGGAGAGATGGCTCAGAGGTTAAGAGCACTGACTGCTCTTCCGGAGGTCCTGAGTTCAATTCCCAGCAACTACATGGTGGCTCGAAACCATCAGTTATGAGATCTGGTGCCCTCTTCTGGTGTGCAGATATACATGAAAACAGAATGTTGTGTACATAATAAATAAAATCTTTAAAAAAGAAAAAAGAAAAGAAAAATCCCTCTGACCGACTCCAACAGCTACTACCTCTCACTCTTTATGTAGTGTGGAATTGCAAAGAACTGTGAGAGCATTACCTTGTTCCAGTTCTCATTTATTTATTTTACAATGTAGTATTCAGTCTTAATCTGTGGGTGGCTTACTATAAGAAAATTCTCTTTTACTCTTAGGTTTACTGAGAGGTTTTATTATGACTGGTTATATTCTGTCAACATGGTATTACATTGATTTTTCAGATGCTAAACCAACCTTGTGTTCCTAGAATAAATCCCACTTTGTAGTAATGTATAATTATTTTTTTTTAATGCAGTGTTGATTTTATTTTTTAAGATTTATTTATTATGTATGCAGTGTTCTGTCTGCATGTATGCTTGCAGACCAGAAGAGGGCACCAGATCTCATTACAGATGGTTGTGAGCCACCATGTGGTTGCTGGGAATTGAACTCAGGACCTCTGGAAGAGCAGTCAGTGCTCCTAACCTCTGAGCCATCTCTCCAGCCCATGTATAATTATTTTTATGTGATATTAGATTCGATTGTATTTTTGTGATGTCTTTGTTTGGCTTTGGTATCAGAATAATAATAGTGGCCTCAAAGGCTAAACGAGAAGTAGAATCATGGTCTTTTCTGTA